TGGGCTGAATTGCACAAAACGCATGATCGCACCGGCTAGTCTGGTGCGCGTTGCTGTTTATTACAACTGTTTCAAAGGAGGATGGCTGAAGACCACCGTCTTGTGAGGAAGCTCTATAAGCTAGTGCTTAAATTGTATTACGTAACTAATTAAGGCCCTTAAAAATTTGACTGCGTAGCTGTGTTTGTTTTCAGGTTGTAAGTCGGGCACGGAACGGGCCTAAAATTTGGTTCCGGGGAAAAAAGGATGTGAGTTTATGCCGGAGCGTGGAGTCTTCCACACACAGGCTTGCATTTTGTTTTCCAAGTTCAAGTGTTTTAATAACTTGCATCGCTCCGCTGTTCATATATGCGATAATCAGACGGACTGCCGGCGTTCCTGTTCATCTTGGACTCAATGAGGGAAATTTGACTCAAGATGTAGTGAAGTTTTTGTTTCATTAACAGACTTTGAAACATTAGCAATATGTATTGATCAGAATAAGAAGTGCTTCAGCACTCAGCTGTTGCACTAGGATTATTTGTAAAAAAGCAGAGCTACAGTGGAAATAGTTCATTGAAAGGCACAAATATTGGCGAGAATAAGCAGTTCTGATGGCACAAGCAATTAGCTAGAGGACGGACGCCAATGTGGCGGTGGCGGCGGCTGCATGCTACACGTGACGTTCGGCAAATTATACGTACAAATAAACTGCATCGCGTCTATAATCAATCACTTCATGAATGACATTTCTAAAGGCATAATAAGTAGCAATCGCAGCTTGAGAGTAAATGCAACGAAGAGGCTTGTGCTGCTTTTCATTGCATTGCATTAGTCGTTGTCGTGGTGGTCGTCGTATCGGTCACTGTCTTCTTTTTATAATATTTCGTTGTTACATGCCTAAAATACATATTTCAGTGCATTGGTTTGTGCTGCGCAGAAGCAGTTATGTCGTCCTTTGTTTTGAAATAACATCTCAGCAACACTTGAAGAACAAGAAGTTGTGAAAGGTTGAGTCAAGCAGCACAGGAATTTTCTCATACTAATGCAGAAGTCACCTGACAGTTTGCTAAACAGCGTTAAAATGCAAACTTTAAAATGCATTGAAATTTATTTCGTTTTATACGTTTATTTTATCAACACCAAAACCGTCGTACTGATCAGGTTCACTGTGAGTGCTGAATAGGAATGTATACGGCTTTTATGCAACAAAACAGTCATATCTATTCAATTTTTTTAATATATTTTAATGCATTTAGGTTTATTACAATTATATCTGTTTTGAGAAACGTTAAATATGAATTAAAAAGAAAAAAAAACATCCTGTGTGAGAGAATGAATTCAAAAAGGTAATGAGCAGTAATAATTTGGTGGAGCGGTAACAAGTTACTCTTCTTCCCAGATTCTAAGCGAGCGTTTTACTGGGTCTAGTTAAGTGAATTTTCCATGATGCCTCATTTGGCAAAATACAACTTGGAATGCTTTAGCCTTGTGTTAAGCAAATTGGCATGTTGATTTCGCACGGTAGTAGTAACATGGGCAGAAGCAGCGGAGCTTCAGATCGAAAGGTCTTGTTAGTCATGATGCACTGAACAAGCGAAT